GCTGGTGGTCATTAGGCTCCTCTCCAGACTATAAAAAGGACTGCTTGTGCACATGCCCCTCTTGCAGAAGTCAACGCAGGAATGAATGTCGGAGAACATTACTGTGAGCTTGGCAGGCTGGATTGCTGCCAAACCTTATATGTGCTAGATTGCTGCCCAAGCCTGTCTGTGCCTGTTTGCTGCCAAGGACCTGTCTGTCTGTTAATTAAATGCTGTAACTTATCTTTGGCTCAGAGTGTGTGTTGGTGTGGGATGAGAGGGGTCAGAACACAAATGAGTGCCTAAAAGCAAAGTTCTTATAGCTTTGACTACCACTTGCCTTTTCAAGCTGTATTTACAGGTATATGGAGCACCTGCCAGTTCAAGTTGAGTTTCAAGAGAGGAGGCAAACTCTCATCCCATGGCTTGGATGACCTGCCTAGCAGACTGCATTAGACTTACGTTCCCCACCCAGAGTTTCAAAGACGAATTATGACGGTCTATGACCATAAAAATACTTCATTTAAAAGGAAGAATACAAGCATAGTCTGGAGACTCTCCTATATCAATGGAAAGTGAGGATATTGTTATTATAGCTATTTTACAGCAGGATAACAATATATTTACAAAACAAATGCTAACAGTATTCCGTCTGGTTATATTTCAGATTGAACTAAAATATTTTCAGACTACAGTTACAGGAAACAAAACTCAAAATGCATGAAGCATATTTTATGCTACTCTTACCTGATAATTTTCTTTTTCCTCAGACACAGGTTGTACAATTTCACTGTCTAATTTAGTGCAATTCACTGTTTCAGAGCAGTCTCCAAGATTCTCATAATCTTTAGTAATATTCTTTTCAGTATCATCCCTAACAAAAGGAACAAGATGCTAAATAATGAATTTTACCTGCATAAAACTATCTGGTTATGGGTTTAGGTTAAGGATTTTAAGCATTTACTATTTTGGTGATCATAATATTCTGGATTAATGAAATCAGAATATGTATGTACAACTGCATTCAGAAAAGAAAAAAAGTAAATTCCTAACATCCATTAATTATTGAATAAGATGCTCATAAATGTTATAGCACAAATACATATAACATTCTACTTTTGGGGATAACTTAATATTGTTCCTATCAAATCCAGCCATAGGCTGTAGATACTGCAATGATCCTTAGACTGCTATTCCCCAAAGCAAGGAATTTAGAACAGTGGTAGAAAGAAACATATGTTGCGGTTGGTTGATACAAACTGATCACACTGAAACCATTCTGAAACAACCGACATCTACGAAACAGAAGCTGCTGCCTATTCAAACACGTTACTTGAAGAATAACTTCAGAAGAAGCGGAAGGGGAATGAAACTTTCCACTAAGCCACTATATCAAAAAATGGATCTAAAGATGCTGCAGGCATNGTGTGTGTGTGTGTGTGTGTGTGTGTGTGCATTTGTACACATATCTATAAGTATCTGGGTTTTCCTAAAGCAACAATGAAAAATATTATAGTTTGGAAGTTTGGATGTTTATTAACATTTGTATGCCGCCCACTCCCTAGGGACTCAGGGCAGCTAATAATATATTCCATGATTTGTTGGGGGCCGTTATTGTCATCAATCTACTGATGTTTGAATTAAACCTTTCCCAAGGAGTGCTTTAAAAAAATGGAGTCATGTAATTGCAATAGAGGAAAAGGTACACCTCCTATAGGATAATTGTTTTCAATAAGCATATATTCTCCTGGTGTCTTGCAAAGGTGTTCCTGGGATTCGCATTAAAACATTTTTCTTACACATCAGGGAGATACCAGAATTGGAAAAATTCTGTATATACATTTAGGAAGCATCTATCTGGTATGGAAAGATGACTTGGGTGAATATTGTGCTAATAATGTCCTCTTTTCTCTTTTCTTTTGTAACAATTGAACTTTCTTCTGTCAATAGGTCCTAGATGTGAATCAATCCCATGATGCAACATGTCTCCCCAGCGCCATCTCTGACAATGATGGCCACACAGACTGTACCCCCTCCCCCTTATCAAGAACCCCAACAGGTGAGTATTCCTTTTGCAAGCACACCAGTCTGTTTTACAACATGTATAGTATTGCAGAGAGCAAGAGAAAAGCAAGAAGGAGCAATGCAAATTTTAATCGTTCCAACCACATCTTTTCCCATACTTCCATCTGCATATTACAACCAAATATTTTAGCTCAATCTATCTTTCACTTCTTCTTCTTCTCTTTTAAATTTCAATACAAGGTTATACATTGTAGCAATTGCATGTTCATCAATGCTACACAATTCTTTTTCAAACTCAGCTTTACAATGTTCAGAACCATAAATTATTTTGTCTATCATGAATCTGCGTAGATAGGAGAACCATTGACAATTATACCCTTCTGCCACCAATTCTTCTCTTGATTTTATTTTAAAAATCCCTTGACAAAACATGGAATTCTGGGTGCCTTTTTCTTTCTAGACATCAACCGTACAACTTACAGGATTTGGAAGGAATCAGCTTTGGAAGAAGGATGTTGTATAAATTTGCCATCTATAAGGAGGCACTCTTCTATTTCTCTGTTAATATTTCCCTTGGAGAACTGTAGAAGATTTAAGATCTAGACAAAAGAAGTGATATCACTCTGTAGCTTATGCCCATGGCATACCAGAAGACCCTTGGGCCACTAACATCTGCCCACTGATATCTTAACATCAGTTGGTGATGATAGTTATTGTTGTTGTTATTTTCAGGCTAAGAAAAGATTGTCATAATTCTGAATTCCTTTCAAGATAAGAATTTTTAGATATTGATAGAATGACTGCCAGGAGGGGGGAAAATCCCCTTCATTTTTAATACCAGTTGCCATATTTTTTAAACAGAGTGTCAGCGTTCCAAGTATCATGTAGAATTTAATCAGAGTCCAAGGCAAAACGATCCTTAAATTTCCAATTTAATAAATCAGACATTTTAGCACATCTGTGTTATTCCCAATTCTGGAAATGACATCAGAATTCCACCCAGTTAAAAGTTCATGATCTTGTTCCCACACCCACAATCCATCACATGGTCCAATTTTTTTCTTCCACACTGGCATCCACACCCAGCTGCTTCCGGTCAGGTGTAAAAGTCCAGAGACAAAAGATGACCTTGGTCTTCTAGAAAAGAA